CCCTTTGTCTGGAGTCCAGAGGCTGGAGGTGGAGTAGGAGTAGCACCAGGGGATCCAGTAGATGAGCGGTGCTCTTTCTGCGTTGCCATGCCGTCTGTCGTTGTAAAGAATTGGGAAATGTTGAATCTTGTCTTGCTAGCTCTCAGACCATGTTGGGCTGAGAAAAAGCCCTTAGGATCTTTTCAAGGCTAAGACTTAGGATGATGTTGTAATCGCGGAAGCGTTCTAGTGAACTGGTTGAACCACCTTGTGCTAGTATATGAGGACAAGATGAGTTGATTATAACAAGGAAGTACAAAGCTTTTTAAATGATTACAAGGAATATGAAAGGTTTTTAACTAACTGCTGTTACAGCTGCTGTTGCGATTCGATACAGCGACGACTCGGGCAACTGCTCAACGTCGAGTCAGTTGTGTGTCCTTGCTGTCGCGCTGCATTTCAGCGAGTCAAAGGTCGCTGACCTTTGACCTTCGCTCAACCTCTTGCTGTTGCTTTCCTGTCAACCGCTTCACTGTAGTTTTGGTTGACTCGCTGTTGTTTCGCTGTAGTTCGCTTGGTTTACACTGTGGTGGTTGACACATCAGAAGCGCGAACTATATTGTTTCCAACAAAAGCAAACCAGGCCAGCTCAAATTTAGCAAGTCCTAACTTGGTGATGCCATAACCTGATACTAGATATACAAACTCTTGATAAATGCCTCCATCTTAACTCAATCACTATTTGTACAGGTAAGTAACCTTCCCGCCAACCTGTCAAAGTTATATTTCAGTTATATCCTGCTTGCTATAGTTATTGTAGTCACTGTCATAAACTGTTGGTGGTGCACCTCATTCTGTTGTTCCTTGCCTATATGTTCTTCCTATATGTTATGTTGTTCTTTTGAAAGACCCCCTTTCCTTGCTCCAATTCCATCGATAGTCATGCCTAGCCTAAACTCTAGGATGGCTTCTAGTCTCACCCTCTAGCTACTATTCTGACATGGTATCAGAGCCAGAAACACTAGAGTCAACAACAGCATACATAGCATGAGGAGTTCCTAAGAGATCAACCAAGTGAGACGCAGACATGTCCCACAGAGCGGGACCGTGCTGCTGAACAAGGGGAAGCCAGTAAGGGGCAGGGCTGTCAACGCCATAGGCCGCACAAACTATGTCAGTAAGTTGAGCAAAGCACTGATCCGGTGGGTGGCTGCGGCCACTGGGGAGGCCTCGGCGAGTACCTGTCTGAACGAGGTAGGTGCAGGGAGGGTGGACAGCACCGCGCGACAGCTGACGCGGTCCTGACCCCTGCCCCGGAAACTGCTGTTGCTACCGTCACTGAGTCAGGTACCAAGCCGCCACTCCAGCACCTGTAGCTGGCAGACCTGCAGGTGCCTGACGAACCCTAGAGTCACCTCCACCAGAGGTAGCAGGGGAGTCACTAGCCGCTGCACGAGGCGCTCCTCCACCTACAGCACTCCCACCACCGCCGCTCGCCACGCCACCTCCGCCGCCTCCGCCGCCTCCGCCCGCACCCTGACCGCCCCTCCTGCCACCCCGACCCCTAGGCCGTGTAGAAGCCGTAGCAGCAGCTGCGGTCACATCAGTAGCGGCAGTGGCGAGGGAGGTTGTAAAGGTGGGCAGCTGAGGGACAGTGCACCCGTGAAACAGTGGAGGGGGCACAGCACCAGAGGCGGAGGCTACCGAGCGGAGGTTGCTCTCGACGTCCTTGAGCGCAGACTGAGCTCGCTAGAGTGGTTCGTAAGAAGCTTGTCACGAACCGAGGCAAGGCGGTCAGGGAGGCTAGTGACGATGAAATAGATTGTAATCGTCATGGGGGGAGGGAGCAGTGCAAGCTATGCGATAGTGCAGGCAGCGCGGTAGCTAGAGTCAAGCGAGCGGAGGTGAGCGATCAAGTCGAGGCGAGGTCAAGAAACAGGAACGGGAGGAACAGTCGACCAAGAGAGACAATGGTAGGAGTAGCATAGCGGGCCTTGATCGCAGTCAGGAACTCACTAGCAGTGCGAACCTGAGTGAAGTGGGTCTCCTCAGACTCAGGGAGGAGGCTGCTAAGGGCGATGCAGGCCGCAGCGTCACGCGACTTCCACGCCGTCAGGTCAGCACGCTGGCGGGCATAACGGTCTTTGGCTGCGTCATCAGGGGCAGTGCCTAAAGGCGTAGGGTCGTCGGGCGCAGGAAGGTCACCGGAAGCGTGCGCCCACAGAGACTCGTCTGCCTGGACCTGACTCTCGAGGAGGCCCTGCGCGCGCAGGAGCCAGATAGAGAACTCGAGCGGCCTACTGTCGGTGTCAAAGCGTAGAACCCTAGGGGTCGCCATAGCTGTAGCGAACAGGTGGGAACTGTCGCTGCTGAAACCCTAAAACGCCTAGAGTAGGGCGCACGGGCTAGGGGACGCGACGCGACGGGCAGGTGACGGGACGGGCTAGGGGACGCGACGCGACGGGCATGGGACAGGACGGGCTAAGGGACGCGGCGCGACGGGCAGGGGACAGGACGGGCTAGGGGACCGGACGCGACGGGCACGGGACACGACGGGCAGGGGACGTGACGGGCAGGGGATGGGACGGGCTAGGGGACGCGACACGGTGCAAGTTAGCTACTATTCTGACACAACCGTCCCATTCACAGGGACGCCATCAACAAAAACGCTAACAAAGAAGTCTACGGGATTGGTAAACACCTTTGCGTCAATCAACGGCTTGAGTATATCAACAGCCTGGTACGGCTAGTGGAAGTGGAGGTGATGCAGGTCTACATGCCCTTTGTGGTGTTTGAGGTGGCAGTGCACGGAATTGACGAAACGAGAGCCCCCGTGTCGCTTTTGTAGAAATTGGGAGCACTGACACTTGGTGTATTGCTCACGGCTATGCACGGAACAGTGAAGTTCAATTTGAACGGTTGGGAAACAGACGTGCTGCAGAGGAGAGAGCGAGGAGGAAGGCGGGTGGGGAGAGCGTTTGGAAGGAGTGTCAAACTGTGTTCTACATCCGTAGGCTGTAGTGGGGTAGCCTTTACTGAGTACGACACTTTAGGGTTGCATCCTAGTACTTGTACTCATCCTTGCATCCTAGTAATCATTCCTGCACGTTATTTCTTACATGGTATCATGGCAGGTCCATCAGTAGGACCGCTCGTTTAGGGCCCACCGTTAGTTCCGTTCTGCCCATTTGTCCTGCCCGAATCGCGCCCCTATGCGAGCCGTTTTCCTGCCCGAATCGTGCCCTTAGGCGAGCCGTTTTTCCTGCCCGAATCGCGCCCCTAGGCGAGCCGTTTTTCCTGCCCGAATCGCGCCCCTAGGTGAGACCTTTTTCCTGCCCGAATCGTGCCCCTAGTCGAGCCGTTTTTCCTGCCCGAATCGCGCCCCTAGGCGAACCGTTTTTCCTGCCCGAATCGTGCCCCTAAGCGAGCCGTTTTTCGTGCCCGAATCGCGCCCCTAGGTGAGACGTTTTTCCTGCTCAAATCGCGCCCCTAGGCGAGCCGTTTTTCCTGCCCGAATCGTGCCCCTAGGCGAGCCATTTTTCCTGCCCGAATTGCGCCCCTAGGCGAGCAGCTTTTCCTGCCCGAATCGCGCCCCTAGAAGGGCCGTTTTCTCGTGCGACCTGCAGCCCGCGCGCTGCCCTGCTCTGCATCCCGCTCACTACCCTGCCCTGCAGCTCGCGCGCCGCCCTGCCCTGCAGCCCGCGCGCCGCCCTGGCCTGCAGCCCACGCGCCGCCCTACCCTGCAGTCCGCACGCCGCCCTGCCCTGCAGCCCGCGCGCCGCCCTGCCCTGCAATCCGCGCGCCGCCCTGCCCTGCAGCCCGCTCGCTGCCCTGCCCGGCAGTCCGCGCACCGCCCTACCCTGCAGCCTGCTCGCTGCCCTGCCTTGCAACCCACAAGCTGCCCTGCCCTGCTGCCCGCACGCCCTGCAGCCCGCGCGCTGCCCTGCCCTGCAGCCCGCGCATTGCCCTGCCCTGCAGCTCGCGTGCCCTGCAACCAGCACGCTCCACACTGCAGCTCGCGCTGCCCTGCCGCCCGCATGCCTGCGCTGCTCGCGCCCTGCGCGCCTTGCTGCCCGTGTGCCCTGCTGCTAGCGCGCTCTGCTGCCCACTCACCCTACTGACCTCTACAGCCACTCCTACAGTTGCCACTGCTGTTGCAGCCACAGCACCTGGAGGTACTGGACAGCAGCGACAGTCTCGTCGCCATGAGACTCTCTCGCCACAGCAGCTTCGTGAGTGGGTCATTCAGAGAGGTCGTCCTGGTGGTGGAGGTTATGGTGCTGGAGGTACTAGACAGCAGCGGCAGCAGCGCCAGCAAGAGACCCTCTCACCGTAGCAGCTTCGCGAGTGGGTTTCTCAGCGTCGCGTCCCTGGTAGTGCAGAGGCTACTAGTCTAGGTGCCTGTGAGCCTGGTAGCACAGGCGCAGCTTCTGTGGAGGCTTTGCACGCCTTTACGCTTGACTCAAGCGCGACTCGCTGCTTCTTCCGCAACTGCACCACAGTCACACCGCTCACTGCACCTTTCCCGGTCAATCTAGATGACCCCTCTGGGGGCCCAGTCGTAGCACGTGCCTCCACCGTTCTCCCGTGTCTGGTAGCCCCCTCAGACTCCCTCACAGGTTTCCACCTCCCTTCGTTCTCTAAGAACTTGGTGAGTAACGCTATCCTCCAAAACCAGTTTGTCACTGTGACTACTCCTGGGGGTGAGCTTGTGGCGATCTGTACGGACTCACGCACTGGCAAGCACCTCGCCACGTTCACTCGGAAGCCTGAGTCTGGCCTGTACACACTGACCACTCGATCTGCACAGGTAGCCGCGTTGTGTCAGGTAGCTGCGTCGGGTCAGTTAGTTGCGTCTTGTTCGTGTCGTCTCCTAGTCTCTGGCCTCCCCAGGTCCCTGCCCTCGCTCCCACGCTCGCCTGCCCCGCCGTGTCTCCCTTCCCTGCATCGAGGGGCGGCAGCGCGTCGCTCCTCACTCCTCCTCGTTTCCTCCGACCACTGTCCCTCTGCAGACTCTCCACATGGACGTGTGGGGCCCAGCCTATGTCCGTGGGCAGGACCAGGAGCGCCACTTCCTCCTGGTTGTTGACGACTACACGCGCTACACCACGGTCTTCCCCTTGCTGAGCAAAGCGGATGTCCGCGGTGTTTTAATCCCCTGGATCACCGCTGTTCGTCAAAAGATGAGAGCGCGGTTTCAGCAGGACCTCCAGGTCCTGCGGCTGCACTCTGACAGAGGCGGTGAGTTCTCCTCCCGCCTCATTGAGGGTTTTCGTCGCGCCGAAGGCATCGTCAAGTCGTTCACAATTTCGGATTCTCCACAGCAGAATGGGATTGCTGAGCGCCGCATTGGCCTGATCATAAAGGTTGCTCGCACCTACATGATCCATGCGGCTGCTCCCCATTTTCTGTGGCCGTTTGTGGTCCGATACGCTGCGCATCAGCTCAACCTCTGGCCCCGTGTCTCCATGCCGGAGACCTCGCCCACACTGCGTTGGATGGGGGAGGTTGGCGATGCATCGGCATTTCGGGTCTGGGGCGCGCTCTCCCTTGTCCACGATACCACCGCGGGCAAGCTCTCTCCTCGCACTCTCCGCTGCATCTTCCTTGGCTTCCCCACTGACGCCCCGCCCTGGCAGTTTTACCACCCTACCTCGCGCCGGGTCTTGTCCTCACAGGACGTCAGCTTTGACGAGTCGGTCTGCTTCTACCCTCTCCACCCGCACGTGTCTTCTCCAGTCCCCCCGCCGCCCCTCTTCCTGGTCCCAGGTCCCCCCCGGTAGACCCCCTCCCCCCTCAGGGTCCTGCTCCCTCAGGTGTGTCTCAAGTCGACCCACCCCCTTGGTTGAGCCTTTGGAGATCTCCTCTGACCCCTCTGGCCCACCTGAGGGGGGTGACGCTGCTGACGGCATGGCGACCACTCGCCGCTCCCCGCGCTTGGAAACCCCTCCTGGTTTTCTGCCTCGGCCGTCTTCGCCGCCTCCGCAGCCTGTCGCTGTGGACTCTGGTGCTGCTGGGGATAGTGACACTGGGGGTACCGGCTCTGGAGGTGCTGGTCCTGGGGTTGCTGAATTTAGAGGTGCTGAGTCTGGGGGTGCTGGTTCTGGGGGTGCTGACTGTAGAGGTGCTGAGTCTGGGGGTGCTGGTTCTGGGGGTGCTGCAAGTCCGAGTGGTGGTGGAGCCGTTGGTGCTCCTACTGGAGGTCCTGGCGTCGGACCACTGCAGTAGTCTCGTCGACAGGAGACCCTCTCGCCGCAGCATCTTCGCGACTGGGTTGTTCGGTGGGGCCGGGTTGCTGGAGCTTGGAGTACCAGTCCTGTAGCTACTAGAGTTGCTTGTGCTGGAGGTGCTGTAGCTGCTGGTGCTGGAGGTGCTGGAGCTGCTGATGCTGGAGGTACTAGCGCTGCTTGTGCTGGAGGTGCTAGAGCTGCTGGTACTAGAGGTACTGGAGCTAGGGGTGCTGGAGGTACTGGAGCTATTGGTCCTGAAGGTGCTGGAGCTGCTGGTGCTGGAGGTACTGGAGCTGCTGGTGCTGGAGGTGCTGGAGCTGCTGGTGCTGGAGGTGCTGGAGGTACTGGAGCTGGAGGTGCTGGAGGTGCTGGAGGTACTGGAGCTGCTGGAGGTGCTGGAGGTGCTGGAGCTGCTGGAGGTACTGGAGCTGCTGGTGCTGGAGGTACTGGAGCTGGAGGTGCTGGAGGTATTGGAGGTGTTGGAGCTTGTGGTACTGGAGGTGCTGGAGACATGCAGATTATGTGAGAGCACAATAAGAAAAGCAGTCTTGCTGCTACTGGTACAGCTTTTGCTACTCTATTACTCGTGTGGAGCGTCGTCTGCATATTCAAAGACTCGTTGAATGGATCCTATGACATGTAATCATCAGCATATGGTGCTTACTTGTCGGCACGCATCACGCACGAGCCAGTCAGGGCACCAGTGCTCAAGGAGAGTGTTGACCATGCGTCATCTGTGCGACAAGAGGAAGGATAGGCAAGACGAGGAAAAGGAACGGAGCACCAATGGAGAAGACGGCAGCATGAGCAAACATGAGAAGGTACTTGGTGCCTGAGACGGTGCTGGGAGCACGAGAGGATGCTGGGACTCCTCAGATTGAGGGTCGCGCAATTTGCGGATGGAGCACGAGACGGTGCAGTGATCATTCCAACCGTTGGAGCAATATTGCAGATGACTCGTTCTGAGTGAGGCGTGCAACCAGGCAGGGCGACGTGAAGCACAATAGATAGGAAGTTGTAGAGCACAATGGTAGGGAGTCTTACAGCGATAGATGAAGATGGTTTGGAGCTGATGGCGGCTGGCGATGGCGCTGCAGGCGAACGAGAGCAGCATTGCCGCACGGGATATACGACAAAAGTCATTATGATAATTTTTTTTCTTGTTCAAACGGCGAGAGGACAGAATTTTCAAACAATCAGCGCTTACGGAGATCAGAGAGAGAGTTATGGCAAGGCCAGAGTATACTCCAACCGCTGGTGAGACTACCACGCCCGTAGCGCCCGAAGCTCTCGAAGTGCTGGAAGCGCCCGTGGCACCCGTTCCTCCCACCCATCGTGCCAGTCCAGTCCCGTCCAGTCCCCTCATGTCGCGCCCGTCCTGCCCGTCCCCTCCTTTCGCGTCGTCCTGTCCCGTCCCGTCGGGCAGTCGCTCCAGTCCTGTCCCGTCATGCTGCGCCCGCCGCGTCGTCCCGTCCCGTCCCGTCGCACACGTTGCGCCCGTCTTGTCGCGTCCCGTCGCGCACGTCGGCCCGTCCCATCCCGTCCCTAGTGCCCATCCCGTCCGTCCCGTCCCGTACAGTCGCGCCCGTCGCGGCCGTCCTGTCCCGTCCCCTAGCGCCCTTCGCGCCCGTCCCGTCCCGTCCCGTCGCGCCTCTAGCGCCATCCCGTCCCGTCCCATAGCGCCCGTCGCGTCTGCCACACCCTACCCGTCGCGCCTTGCGCTCTGACCGTCCTGCCTGTTCCGCCCTGCCTCTCGTGCTCCTTGCACCCCACCGCATCAGCTATGGCAGCGCCTAGGGTCCTGTGCCTTGATGCCGAGGGTAGGCCGCTGGAGTTCTCTGTCTGGCTCCTCCATGCAAGGCAGCGCCTGCTAGAGAGTCAATGTCAGGCTGACGAGTCCCTCTGGGCGAATCCCTCCGGTGACCTTCCTGCGCCTCCTGCCCCTGTACCCCCAGGCGCTGACCCCACCACTACGGACAACGAGCGTTTTGCACGTGAGCGTGCTGCTCTGACAGCCTGGAAATCGCGCGATGCCGCGACCTGCATTGCCCTCAACAGCCTCCTCCTTGAGTCTAAGAAGATCCACTTCACCCAGGTTCGCACTGCTAGCGAGTTCCTGACTGCGATCAAGGCCCGCTACTCCACTCCCACCACTGTCTCTCTTGGTCGCCTGTTCCTCCCGTTCCTGTTTCCTAACATTACCTCGTTTGAGCGTTCTGCTGACTTGATCGCTCACCAGCGTTCGCTAGATTATAGCAACAGCACTGCCTGCACTGACGCACAGCTTGCACTGCTCCCTCCCCCCCATGGAGATTACTGTTTATTTTACCGTCACTAACCTCCCTGACCGCCTTGCCTCGGTTCGTGACGCGCTTCTTCTTAATAACCCTAGCGAGCTCACTATCGACGTCCTTGAGTCTGCGATCAAGGACGTAGAGAGCAACCTCCGCTCGGTAGCCTCCGCCTCTGGCGCTGTGCCCCCCCCACTGTTCCACGGGTGCACTGTCCCACAGCTGCCCACCTTTACTGCCTCCCTCGCTGCTACCGCTACTGACGAGACCGCGGCTACTATCAAGACTTCCTTGGGGTCTAGAGTTAGGAGTGGCAGGAGGGGCGGCCAGGTTGTGGCCAGCAGTGGAGGCGGCGGAGGTGGCGTAGCGAGTGGCGGTGGCAGGAGTGCAGGTGTTGGTGGAGCGCCTCATGCAGCTTATAATGGCTCCCCTGCTGCAGCTGGTGGAGGTGACGCTCGGTTTTGCCAGGCACCCACGGGACTGCCAGCTGCAGGCGCGGGAGTGGCGGCCTTGTACCTGGCTCAGCAGCGGCAGCAGCAACAGCAGCCACTGCTCTCGCAGCAGGGGCAGCAGTAGGTTCAGAGGCCGGAGTCAGGACCGCATCAGCTATCGCGTGGTTACGCCCAGCCACCCTGCCCCTACCTCATCCAGACAGATACTCGCAGCGGCCTCTGCTGTGACCGCTGTCACCCACCGGGTTAGTGCTTTGCTCGGCTCACTGACCAACTTCGTGCAGCCTACGGCGCAGACAGCCCTGCCCCTGACTGGCTTCCCCTTGTTCTCTAGCATGGTCCCGCAGTGTGGGACATATCTGCTTCTCAGTTGCTTTAGTTCTTAGGATCTGCACATGGAATGTATGCTGTTGTTAACTCTAGTGCTTCTGGATCTGTTTGGTCGTGTGTTCATAGCTTAGGTGCTAGTGTTGATGTTGTGCCAGTTGCTAGTGTAGGTACTTGTTTAGGTGCTAGTCCGGGTGCTAGTTCGTTGGACGTGTCACTCTCCTTCACGCTGGACTCCGGTGTGTCGCTGTATTTCTTCCGCGACCACACGACGCTTACTCCGCTTCCTGCACCAATTTTATAGCAGTGGCTGATCCCACTTCGGGACTAGTCATTGCTCACCACTCTACTACGCTTCCGTGCTTGACCGTCCCCTCAGGTTCCCTCACAGGCCTCCACGTCCCCTCATTCACCAGGAACTTGGTGGGCATACGACCGCTTGTGAGTCAGCACGTTGGTGTTTGGTTTGAGCCTTCTTGAGACTCTGTGCCCTGTGTGGACGGTGACACGTACGCGCCCCTAGCCACCTTTTGTCAGGTACCAGAATCTGGCCTCTACACGCTTCGCACTGCCCCTCCTGAGGTCCCTCCGTCCCGCCAGGTGGCTGGTCAAGTTACGGCGTCTGGTCAGGTTACGGCATCTGGTCAGGTTGCTGCGTCGTGCTTGTATCGGTCGCTTGCCCACCCCACCATTCTGTGGCACCACCGTCTTGGCCACCCGTCCCTACCTCGCCTTCGCACTATGTCTAGTCAGCTTCCTTTCTTAGGCCTGCCGCGAGTCTTGTCGTCGCTTCCGCCTTCGCCTGCACCGCCGTGCGGTCCGTGCGTCGAGGGTCGGGTGCGCGCCACCCCTCACTCCTCCTTCCTTCGTCCGGCCACAGCCCCTTTCGAGACTCTCCACTTGGACGTCTGGGGCCAAGCCCCTCGCCCTGGTCCTAAGCGAGAGAGTTTCTTTTTGGTGGTCATCGACGACTACTCTCGCTAAACCACCATTTTCCCTTTGGCGAAGAAGTCCGACGTGACTTCTACGTTGATTCGATGGCTAATCACCACAGTGGGTACTCGTCACCGTTGTGTCAGTTGTCTTCACTCCGACCGCGGTGTTGAGTTCCGCTCTAGCATTCTTGCCAGCTTCTGTGCCGAGCAGGGCATCGCCCAGTCTTGGACCCTTCCTGAGTCTCCGCAGCAGAATGGGGTAGCTAAGCACCGCATAGGCTTGATCATGGAGATTGCACGCACCTCCATGATCCACGCCCGTGCGCCCCTGTGGCCCTACACGGTTCGGTACGCCACTCACCAGCTGAACCTCTGGCCACGTGTCTCCCGGCCAGGGGTTTCACTGACCAGTCTTTGGACCGGGTCCCCTGGTGTTGCGTCGCGGTTTCGTGTCTAGGGCTGCTTGTCGCTTGTTCGCGACACCTCCGCGGACAAGCTCTCGCCTCGCGCCCTTCACGGTGACTTTCTTGGTTTCCCAGAGGACTCCTCTGACTTCACCTTTTACCACCCTCCCCTTCACCGGTTCTTTGGCTCTCGCGACGTCCGTTTCGACGAATCAGTCTCCTACTACGCCCGTTACCCCTGTCAAGGTCTCCCGGTTCCCCCTCCCCTTCTCTTCCTGGCTCCCGCTCCTCCTCCTGCCCCTCCAGTACAGCCTCCCCCTCCTGGTCCAGCCCCGTCGGATGTGTCACACGCTACCCTCCCCCCCCCCTCCGTCGCCCCTCAGGTCCCGTCCCCTTCTCCACAAAGTTACCACCGCAGCCGTCAGCACTTCCTCCACAGGCTACTACGGACTCTGAGGGTACTGGTGTTCGTGGTGAGGGCCCTGAAGGTGCTAGCTCTGGGGGTGTTGGAGTTGGAGCTGAGCGTGCGCCTGTCGGAGGTCCTGATTCTGGGGGTGCTGGCGGTGGTGGGGTTGTTCCAGGAGGTCCTGGTTCTGGGGGTGTTAGAGTTGGAGCTGAGCGTGTGCCTGCAGGAGGTACTGGTTCTGGGGGTGCTGGAGTTGGTCGAGCTGTTTCTGGAGGTGCTACGCCTGGGAATGCGAGTGTGCATTCTTCTGAACCTGGAGACACTGGGACTGGTCGCGTTTCCACTAGTGGTGTTGGCTCTGGGGGTGGTACAACTGGTGCTGTAGAGAGCGGGCTGAGGCTACTACCACCCCGGACACCACTCCTCCTCCTCACCCCTACCCGACTCGACCAGCGGCAGGCTCTTTTTCGACGTGCGCGTGAGGAGCAGCTGGAGTTGGAGCGAGAACGGCTGGCGTTGGAGCAGCAACAACGGGAGCTACAGCAGCTGGAGGAGCAGCAGCAGCAGGAGCAGCAGCATCAGCAGCAGCAGCAGCAGCAGCAGCAGCCGCAGCAACTGGATCAGCGGCAGCAGCAGCCGCAGCAGCAGCCGCAGCAGCAGCCGCAGCAGCAGCAGCAACAGCAGCAACGGCCGCCTCCGACTCCTGTCTCT